TTATAATTTTTATTGTTACTACATAATTTCATGATGAATTTTGTAAAAATATTGAATTATTAATAATATGAATATTATTAAATCTATTAATTTTTGTGTTTTGAATAAATATTTTAAATTTAGTATATAATTTCATTATAACATTTAAATAGTTCTTAATTTTTTTTAATTGAAACTTTCTTTAGACAAAGAGAATCTCTCTTCTGAATTAGAGATAATTTAAGAGATAAATAGGAATTAAAGATAATTTAAGAGATAAATAGGAATTAGAAATAATTTAGAAGGAAGTGGAGGAAAATAATGCCACTTAACTAAACATTAGAAAAGCTTTATGGTTGTTAGAAATAGTTAGATATATGCGATTTCCTTATTGGTTTAATGGGTAATTATGTAAAATTCAAAAAAATAAAAATTCAAAAAAATAAAAAATTGAGGAGAATTTCCTGCAAGAAAAGCCACGCTGATGGCTTCCCGCCGACATAGATCTCTGCTGCAAACCGGAAGCTTCTTTAGTCACCAAGTGCAGTTTTACAAGCTGATGTTGTGGTGGTCGCAGATGGATCCGGTAATTACACGGTTGTTTAGTATAGTTGCCATTTTTTAGAGCAACGACATCACATTAGTGTCACATCCGAAGAAATGGTATTTTAAAAAATGGGTATTTATTTGAAACTGTTTTTTCATAAAAAATAGTGTTCTAAGCCACGCTTCAAAAATTGAGAAAACCGTACTTCCAACCACACATCAGCAGCATCGTTTGCATCTGCAGCATCGGCGTCAAACATATACTACAAGACCATCTCCCAGGCGGTGGCTGCTGCTCCAAGGAGATCTTAGACAAGTACCCAGAACTTGTTCTGACAACAGAGGGCTCACCAATGATCAAGCAAAGGCTCGAAATAGCAAACCCAGCAGTACTGGAGATGGCGCTGGAAGCAAGCCTTGCCTGCATCAAGGAATGGGGGAGACCAGTAGGAGACATCACCCACATCGTCTCTGTCTCCTCCAGCGAAATCAGATTACCAGGAGGAGACCTCTACCTGGGGAGCGAGCTCGGCCTGCGCGGTGACGTCGGTCGTGTAATGCTATACTTTCTTGGCTGTTACGGCGGTGTCACTGGCCTTGGCAGGTTTTCACGTCATGAGCAAGGCTGACGCCCAAAAGTTCATCATTGGGAGCTTCTTGGGAGGATGCTCTTGGTCTTGGATTGCAGCTGCCGGAGTTTGTTAGCAACAAAAAGATAAACAGGGTTCCATATGAAGAATGAAGGCTACAATAGGGTTTATTTATTTTCAATTTTGGAGAGGGGAGTAGGATTTCTTATAGTTTTTCATTTCTTTAGGAAGAAGGAAGAATGGGGTTTCAAAAGCTTCAGTCGATTACCAGGAAGAGAAAGGCGGAGAGATTTCTTTGGGTTTTCGATACATTTTGCCGAAAAAGAGAAAGAGGGGCAGTTTTGTCATAAAAAATGCATCAAAGGCATTTCCCATATGGTGGATGCACCTCATGTTTTACTGCCCTTTTGTGATATTACCTTGCAAAAATGCCTTATCTATGATATTTTACAAAAGAGCTACTTTTTGTTGCTAGTAGAGCTCAAAAGTTACCTCTTTATGCTATAACCCCTTTGGGTAAAATGACTGGTCTGAGAAGCTGGGTTTTGTTTTTTTCAGTTCTGGTTCGGGTTTTGCATAGTCCAAAATTATTCTTAGACCCAAACGAGAGGTACGATATAGGTTAAAATTTTGGATTGGATCTTTGTTAATTCATTGGGTTCAGTTATTCGGTTTCAGTTTGAGCCACCAGTCCACAAGATCAGTCAGCTTTGGTTAACCAAAACTTATTTTAGATCTTAGGCCCCGTTTGATTTGCGGGAATAGAGTTCTGTTTGGTTGAGTGGAATCAAAATCTCATTTCTATTCCTACTAGAATGGCATTCCTCCATTTGAGAGAATGGCCATTCTTTGCCCCTCCTTTGGGAATAAAATCCCATTCCTGTTTGAACCAAACAAATTATATTTAGACCATTCCGATTCCGATTTTGAAGGATTTCAATTCCAATTCTGGCTGCAAATCAGACCCTTAGATATTGGCAAATTTTATGTAAAATAGTTAGATACCTAAGTATTTTGAACCTTTTGATACTGACTCAAGTCAGATTCATCTCAATATAATTCATGTCAAATCAAGCTAGAATGCCTTGTAACCTATGCAAATGAGATGTCTTGGACTCTTGGGATCAGATTAGGAGTTTCATCCTTGACACTTTTTATCTAGAATGCTCACTGACTGCAGTATTCTTATATCTATATAATTGGGATGGAGATTTTATTCAGACATTAAAATTCAGTTCAAATCAAGACAATACAACTTTCGTAATTTAAGCCCTAAATAGTAAAGGGCTTAAATTACAATGAATAAAGGGCCAACTTGCCTTTATCCCCCTCTTCTCTTATTGATTATCATTAACCACTTTATTAAATAAACAAGATGACATAGTTACATATAATACTCACAATTAGGATGAATGTAATATTAGTACACAAAAAAGAATCAATAAGAATGAAAGATTCCTATGCAGAAGCATATCTAACTTCGGCTTTAGTTTCTTCTTCCACTTGTGTACTATGGCTTAGATCACTCTCAGCATCCAAATTTTACATGAAGCTATCAGGCCTGTAACAAAGGAAAATGAGCTTTTTGACAAAATTAAAGGCAAAATAAACATAAAGCAGCTTTTGGATCAAATTTGGAATCTCAGGAGAGAGTGAATGAGCCAAGGCTGTTGTGAGATCAAGAATAGATAGCACTGTCTCAGCTTAGCATTATGCTAGAGAAATCAATCTAAGCTACGTTTTTTACTAAGGCAATCAATGGAAACATTATAGAAGAGACTACTATATTAAAACACTACAACAGAAGACTGGAGCAGGGCAGAACCAACCAAGGCAACCCCCCCCCCCCCACCACCACCAACACACTCACAGACAGACACAAGATGATTCCTAGTGCCTCCCCTGTACAGGAGTTTCCAATCATGGTTCAAAGTATCAATACACCTGTGTATCGGCAGAGGTGTATTGGTACTTTAACCGATATGTCTTTTATTTTTTTTTTAGTTTTTCTTTTTCAAATTTCAGTTTTAAGTATAATTAAAAAAAAATACGTGAAAAAGAAATACATACATACATACATACATACATACATACATACATACATAAAAAAAAGAATACGTGAAAACACCTGTAAACAGATGTATTGGCACCCAAAGATACGATACGATATGCCCCGCATCGGGCGTATCGTGTCGACACTTTGAACCTTGTTTCCAACTACAGCTGCAAGATGTCTATGGCTGGGAGAACAACACCGATGCAGATTAGCAATCTATTTGAACCTACAACCTTCAGGTGGCCTAAGAAAAGAGGTAGAGTCTTGTGGAGTTGTGCTAGGACTGCATTGGCTTGGACTGTTTGGAAGGAAAGAAATTCCAGAATTTTTTATGAGGAGAGGAATGAGATCAATGTTTGGGAATGTTTAATTCATATAACCATCAACTAAGTGAAGACTTTGGAACTCTTTTCTCCCTTTTCTTTTGATGAATTATGGAGAAATTGTGAAGCGGTTGCCAAAAGTTCTAGTGTGAGAAGTAAACCGTCAGTGGAATGGAAACCTCCTGAAGAGGGTATCATCAAGCTCAACTTTGATGGTAGCATTTTAGGCAATCTGGGACCTTCTGGTATTGGAGTAGGGGATTCAGTTAATGCAGAAACCCAAGCAATGCTACAAGGAGCAGAATTTGCCAAAGAACTGAATTGTGAACAGCTTTTAATCAAAGGTGATACCAAACTAGTGATTGAGTGGTTAAAAGAACCAGAAACTGCAGCCTGATCCTATATGGGAGCTTTACGAAGATTCAAATGGCTAACTACAAATTTGACAGTCCATTTCCAATGGCAAAGAAGATCAGCAAATGGATTAGCAGATTCACTAGCTAAACAATGAGAGCATTGGAATCAGATGTTTTGGGCTAAACTATAACTCTTTGTCTTTGTCTGAGGCTGCATCTCGTGCCTCTTTTTGGGAAGCTTTCTCTGTGTATCTTTTATGCTTTTTAATCTCTAATAAAATCATTCCTTATTCATAAAAAAGGTCTGTGGCTGGGTGTAGTAGGTCTAAAGATTTGAGCTCATATTACATCTGCACCAGTTATGGATGATTAAATAGGCAATTTATGGTATGTTCTTTGCTAATGACAGTCTAGGACTGATGAAGACCTTTACCTGTGCACGAGCTGGTTGGGGAACATCAACCAGACGCTCTATGGTTTGCAATTGATCATACGGAGCTATCTGCACAAGAAAGAAAAATGTTCAAGTTATTAAAATAATGAGACTGTCATGAAATTAGATAATGGACATGGAAAATTCATAAATCAATTATATGTATTGAATTTCACCTCTAGCTTTTGTTCTTTTGATTATTTTTAACACAAGGCATATTACCATTGAAGGACCATTTTAGGGGTTACATATAAATTGGCACTTCTGTACAATGGCATACTGTCAATTATTTGCTTATTGTGTCTACTGGAGTAGGGTTAACTGGTTAAGGTGGCATTACAGATGTTTTTGTGCTTGGATTCCTTAGTGACTTAACACCTCTGCATGATTTTGGGAAGAAATATGAGGTCCTGTGCATTTGAGATAACAGGAGTTTATATGATGCCTTTTTCTCAAAACTTTTCATTTCAGTAGATCAGTTTTTGTGACCAGGCACATCCATCACATAAATACCTTTTCAGACATCAATAAATATAAAATCACCTGGCTAAATCCATCTGGCCATGTTATGGAAACAGCATAGTTTCCCATAGGCCGGATATCTTCTGGTTCAATATCTTCAGGAACATCAGCATATTGCAGTTTTTGCTCCCCAGTCCACTCATCCTGTTTCAGTTAAGGAATCATAACTAAACTTGTGAAAAGCAAGGTTGCAAATAGATTCTAGGAAATTGAATGATTCATCACTATAGTGACAATAGTTAAAGCTAACAGAAAACAGTTAAAGATTTGTAAACACCCAATTCGTTTATGGCAATACAGTATGTAACCTTTATTTGTTTTGAGTCATCAGACTCCCCAATATTATATATAATGTGCGACAAACAATGACTTTAAAACATATCAATCTGTGACTTCAGGCCTTTTCCTTTACAGCTACCATATTATAAATTTATAATCATATCATAACCATCGCCACTAATTGTTCTTCACATCACCATCCAATACATACCAAACATGTATTATTTAATGGTTGGATATTTTGTGTATGGGAACCACAGGGAGAATCGACAAGTTCTCTGAGACCTAGATAAAATATCATATAAGAAGCACGGACAAAAGATATATTCCTGCCAGAGTCTAAGCTCACATACAACACTTTGGGCAGACCGATCATTTCGTCTCACAGTTGCAGGATGCAAGAGGAACTCTTCATCAGAATCTGGTACTTTCACCCTGATTGCCTTGATAGATTTGTCGTACATTACAGCTGTTGATACTGAAAAAGAAAAGAGCGAAATAGAAAATGAAGACAGCACAAATGCTCAGTGAAGACAATGAAACTCTTATAATCAGAAATTAGCAGCTTGAATATAAACCACCATTCTTTTAATTCTTATCTCCCTAGTTTATCTTCATAAGGCTGTTGGTGTACCTTGTTGGCGAATCTTTGCACACTGTTGGACAACACAAACTCCAAGCTCTTGAAATGTCCTAGCAACTTCACCTTGAGGATCAGTAACTACTTCAGGCATTCCAATATCTCCAGAAGCAGATAACTGGCAAAGTAATGTTATGTCAAAATTTAACAGTTCAAATTGACAAAACATGAAGATTGTATGCTGCTTAATCATATTAAGATTTTATGAGAAGGAAAACCAAGCTTCAACAGAACATACTACTACCTGGAAAAAGATAAGTAGACAAAAGTAAAGGGATATTTAGTGGAGTTGTGCAGCTGATTATTTAAGGAATATAGGCAAATGAAGGAAATGGGATAAGGGAATGGTCAATTGAACATGTTCATCCAAAATATTTTCCAAGAAGAGATTAAGAAAAGATTCACCATGGAAAAAATATTTCATCTTGAAAGCCTACCTCTCGTGAACAATCAGGAAAAAGAAAACAGAGAAGGAATAAAGAACAAGAAAAAAAAGAGAAGATATTTAACAGAGATTTCTGCAAACACTGGAAGTCCAAGATTTAATTAATTTGTAGGTTGGTTCTTTGATTTGTATATGATGCATGATATACTTGGGCTGGATGTTACTGAAAAAGAAAGTTGAGGCCTACTCAGCTAAAATAATGACACAGAATGAGGTAAGGTGTAATCAGAGAAATGAAGACAATCAAACAACATATGTAGCTATGCAGGAGCACAAAAATGAAACAAATAGAAAGAATTATCAAACAGCAGAAATTTGTGTTGCAAATTAAAAGTATAGTTTGAAAATAAATTGTAAATAGATATCTCCATGCAGTATGTAACTATGTATAACAAGAAAAGCTGATGATACATACAGTTGGTCTGATTGGAAGATCAAACAGATGAGGGATTCCAAATTGTTGGACAACCTGCATAGACATTAATGGAATCAATAAAGTTTTGTGTATTTTCCTTTTGTTTTATTCACTGAAATAATAAAGAGTGGTACAGAAACAAATCTGATGATACAGATTCTGGATCAAATTACATGCCTGAGAACCTGAGCCTCTACCGAATGGGTAATAGCGTTTCCCATCAGCATCAAAATGGCACATATTTTCAACAACAGCAATACATGGTACCTGGAGAACTCAGTGTGAAAACATTTTTCTTTTATTTTTTAACAATCACAGAAATATGGAAAGCATTATATAAATTAAGCTCCCACTTCCCAAGTACAGTTTTCAATTTAGGTAATTGCAATTTTATTGATGTCAACACAAAAAGAAAAGATTAGACTCTTTAGATGGGGAATACAGCTAACCGATTATTATGTACAAAATCCTCACCTTGAGCTTTGAAAACATGCGGACTCCTTTCGCAACATCAATGAATGCTAGCTTCTGAGGGGTAGTAACAATCACAGCAGCAGTTAATGGAACTACCTGAAAGGTTGACATGACCGGGGTCAACACATTGGAAGTATCAGAAAGAAAAAATAACAAGGTAGATAATATTTATTACTATCAGAATAGAGAAGTTAAGTCCATCTATCAAAATGGGAGTATATAGGTTAAAAAAACACTTAATAAAGGGGGTGGGGGAGAAGGAATGAAAGAGAAATGCACCATCCAACTCGATGCCAAATTCAGGTGAAAGGTGCACTATATAAGGGATACAACCAACAAAGAGGCTCTTGTCAAGTATATCTGAAACAGACAGTTTTCTTCCAAGATTTGGAACATTTTTATTATTTACTACAGTATTTGCTTCTGTCCAAATGAGAAGATAATGCATGTATCATTGACAAGGAACTGTAGATCCAGGCTCTATTCCATCAAATTCATGTGAAGAAAGTTCTTTAAGAATTTAATTATATTCAGGTACATCATTTTTTCAGTGTCAAACAAAATGAGGGTATGAGAAGTAAGACCTGGCATAAAGTAAGTTGGATATCTCCAGTCCCAGGAGGCATATCAATAACAAGATAGTCTAGTTCTCCCCTGCAAAATTACATCAATTAGGAGGCCAAATTGTGCATTAACATATAAATATTGTGGGAGCAAAATGAATACCAAGAGGCTGGGATGAATTTTTTTTGAAGATAAATAAAAAATACAACTTTATTAAGGAAAAAAGGGGAAAGATGGAAAAACAGCAGGGATAAGAAATCACCCAGCAAAGAACAGACCTACCCTAACATCAAACCCCATATACAAAAGAAAAACAGTCCTACAAACAAGAAATGACATCCTGAAAAATCCCTCCCCAAATACAACAACAAAAATCCACATCAAATATGGCAAAGACCCCTTCCACCAACCACAAAATAAACAAACAATAATATGCAGTTGAGAGGGGTGTACTGGGATGAATTTGGTCCTTATATTGAAATATAAAAGGCATTATCCAATGTTGGTCTCTTGGCCTCTTGGGATGGGTGGACTGGATACAGACCTAACCTGCATAGCTGGATACTTTGCACATAGATTTCCCTCTTGTGAAAAGTATTCTTCTGCAATTTTTAACTTGAGCATACTTAGCATCTATTGAGTTGATTGGGATGTGAAACACTTAAAATCACTAAAATCAAGGGAAGAACAACCAATCCAAGAACCTGAAAATACAATTTCTTTTAATTTAATTTGGATTGCAGACACAAAGCCATGTTGATCTTCTATTAACCCAGAAAACTTGGTAAGCTAAGAATTGTGGAGTGGAGTAAGGTTCCTAAAAGGCACAAACCTGGCTAAGGACTTGATAAGTCAGGTGTTTCTTTTTTTAAGCCTAGCTGATGGAGCATATGGGGTGTCCCAAGGCAAGTACTTGCCTAGGAAACCAAGTTGGGCTATGAGAACAAGAACAGGAATTTTACATTTAAAAATGAAAAAAAAAGGAAAAAGGTTGTAGTGCACATAGAACCTTGCTGTGAGTATAGAATAATCAACAATGCATCAACAGGGTACTCCTCACCATACACAGGCTGCTTCAATCTAATAAAAGTATAGAGCAATCAACAATGTTTATAAACTTTTTTATATTTGTTTGTTGGTTGGGTGGATTGGGGGGAGGACCAGAGGAGTAGCAGAAGGATTTTTTTCTTTTTTTAATAAATAGGAGTAGCAGAAGGATTAAACAAACAAATCCAATACAAAGATGATTTCTGACAATAACATTTCATATACATGACTCCATGTGAACTTAGCTTACAACCATAATTATTTGGGTCTTGAACATTAAATATAGTTCAGACTTTAAACCATTTTAGAAACTTTATGACAACATAAATGTGATTTGTTAATTCATGTTTCATAAACTTTCTATGTAATTAGAGTTTGAAAAAGTTGTGAAATCAAATTTTTAATTTGGGAGAATAAAACTTAAGTAATAAATTTTAATAGTGGAAAATACAGGCTAAGTTTCTCCTTTTTTAATTCAGGAATTGTGTTAGAAGAAAAACATACCACTCAGAAGTAGTTAATAATTGGTTGATGACCCCAGAAACCATTGGACCTCTCATTATTGCACGCCCTTGTCCAGCAAATCCAAAAGATACCAGTTTTACACCCAAGTATTCTGTGGGAATTATACTTCTTGTCTCTGGGTTCTAAAGGCAGTTCATTCAGTCATTACTAGGGCACTTTCAGAATAATGAATTTAATATCAACGAAAGAATGTTTACCATTTCTAAGAGCCGATGTTCAGGGGAAACCATTGTTGGTAAGCTTGGCCCATAGACATCAGCATCAAAGATGCCAACTCTAGCACCCATCCCAGCCAAAGTATATGCAAGGTTTACAGCAACAGTTGATTTCCCCACTCCTCCCTGCACAGATTCAAGTAAACAATAAATATTGAGAACAAGACCTTATGAAGAATTTATCTAAAGATGTATAAAAGGATTCATCAGTCAAAATGGAACCATGTCATTGAAATCTTGTTCAATTCAATGACCATTGTTACTTGTTAGACAAAGAAGTGAGGTGYCAGGCACATGATATCTGGAATTGCCAATATGTTAGAATAAACAGCAAATAGAACCTAGACACATTACAGATAAGAAGCACTCTACCTTGCAACTTGAAACTGCAATGATATTGGAAATAGTCTGTAAGCCTGTTGGGAGTTGCCCTGCAAAAACAGGTCTTGCAGGTTGTGCCGACATAGTAACATTAACTTTTTTAACCCAAGGAAGCATTGCCACCACCTCATTTGCCTTCTGCTCAAACTGCCAAGCATTAAATCTTGTTGACATTTGTTTGAACAAGATCCATTACAGAAATTATCTAGGAATTCATCTATAAGCAATCAAATTGGAGAAGAATAATTTTTCTAAACAAATTAAAGCTAGTTGGTGGAAGCAGGAGTTGGCAGATATATCTGATTAGAGAAAACTACATTACTCAAATTTAAATCCACTTTAAGAGTACATGATCTTCCACAATTTCTCATGATGGACAAATTTCAAGTGAAGGAAAAAAAACTACCATTGAAACCTACATCAGATCTTGATCAAACTATGGTGATTGTATGTCATTTACCATGTCCTTGACTGGACATGCTGGTGTAGTAAGCTCCAACCGAAAAGAAACCTGTAATATGAAAACTTGAAATCTTTTAGTAAATACAATATCCCTTGTCTATAAGTAATGGAAAATATTTCCATTATAAGTAATGGAAAATAGTTACAATAAAATGATGGAAAATTTACATCATCCATGTTTCTCAGTTACCTCTCCCAAGGCTTCATTGATGTGCATATCTTTCACAAACCCACATGAGACAATATCTGTCCCAAAGTCTGGATCAATGATCTGTGACAAGGCTGTCAATACATCTTTCTCAGCATTGCTATTAAGTATTGTGGAAGCACCAGCTACAAAGACAAGAAAAAAGTGAAAAGTTAAAGAGATAAAAAATGAACAATAGAAAAAATAACAAAGAAAATGGTAAAACCATTTCAGAGGAGAGGAAGCAGAAGAATACACACACACACACACACACTTACACTTTATGACAGCAATCAAATATGGTAGCAGATGATATAGAAGGAAGCTTAGCACCTCTATTATAGAATATATCTCTAGCCTAAACTACCTAGAATCTACATTATCTGGATATGAAAGGAATGGAGATATCAAACTTAGAAGTGAACTAATGAAATGTGAGACTCAGCTTCCCTCTCATTTTGCACTTTGATGCATGGACTGCATGAGAGGCATTACTTAAAAGAAGATTTTTTTAATAGATAACAAGCCAAAAAATATATTAAAAAAAGGAACACACAACTCTACTCTCCAGAATAGAGTAATGAGCAGAAACAGGAAACAGCCAAGTGGCTGACCCATCCCCCTTGCAAACTTCTGCAACTATTTAGGGCATAGCTTCCAGAAACATTCTTCAGTGCCTCTCATTCAAAGGCTATGGAAGATAATGGCAAATCGAGGTTGTACAACCCTTTGAACATGGCATATATATAAACTTAAAAACGCAATTACACAAATATCAAACGTTCATTTTTGCAAAAGAATACACTATCTTCCATTTAGAGCATTTCTGGATCATCTAAAGCACATATCAAGGTTCCTTGGCATGCAAGTAAGTTAGAATTTTCTTTAGCTGGAATTATCCTTCAGCATCAGAAATCCATGTGTTTGTTTGCAGAAATTTAGCTTCCTTAGGAAACCTGGATTTGTGCATGCCTTGACTTGCATGTTCAAATCCACATGCTAACAACCTATCCACAACCGTTGAGGTGTTACTAACCAGAAATTCATTAAGCCTGAATGGCAGATATGTTTGGACTACTGAATTTGTATAATCTTCAACACCTTCACCTTTTCTGTGAACACTATTGGCAACATTTTATCCCTCCCTTTTTTCTGAGAGAGAAGCATTACAGGAGAATTGACAAAGTTTTTAAACTAATCACTTTAAATGATAATCAGATAGATTTCCTTTTTCTGATTTTTCCTTCTTTCACTTTTAAAGGTAACCAAACTATCATCTCAGCATTATAAAAATCAACCCTGATATCTACATGAAAATAAGGATTTCTTTTAACATTAGGAAGGAAAATTGCCAAAGTTCAGTCCGATTAACTCAACTACCATGGAAAAGGCAGAAAAATGTGGTTGAACAATAAAATAAGGCCCTCTTTTTAATCCTCATGAAGCAGATTGAAGTGGAAAGAAAAGGAACTGGTATTGGGGATGTTGTAGTACTGAAAAATGTAAAGGAACCAACTGTTCTTCCTCCTGTAGAAGTCCCACATCAAGTGTTTCAGGTGCTAACTCCTTTGTCTGATATGGTTCCTCAAAAGTCAATTAACAACCTACCATCTAATTAATGATCTTCAGCATGCCATTACTCCTATTCCAGGTCACCAGTGTTTTTTCTGAAGCCAATTCCAGGTCACCAGTGTCAAATGTCCAGCCAATTTACGACTTTGATAATTTCAAACAAACTGAAGCACAAGTTGATAGAATCAAGCATGACTGTGAAAATCAAATAAGTAACAGGTCCAAAAAAATCATTTATCAAAAAAAAAAAAAAAACAGGTCCAAAAAAATTGTTCTCAAGGATTAACTATGAAGGAGAAATTGGTCGAAATTATTAATTATAATTAGGACTAGGAGCACTTCATACAAGGTAGAAAGCTGAATAGCAGCATTCCTGACTTGAAAATTTTGAGTTATTCTAAGCTGGAAAAAGATGATGGGGATCCTTAATACCCCTTAATTAATGCTCATAAGAAGGGGATGAAGGGCTCAATCACTAACTAGAAATCATCTATTTGCAGAGGTATATACCGAATTTTCTTTAAATTTTGAGCAGGAAGGTATTTTAACCATTTTCTTATTTTATGTGGGCAGCAGATAGGTTAAAGTCTTTTTAGTCCTTTTATGGTTGTCTTTTAGCTATTTGAGTTACTTGCTGAGAGGGTAAGCTGTTCTAGTCTTTTATTCGTTTCTTTAGTCATAATGGCATTTTATTCTTTTCACTCCAGTTAGGTCTAGCTGCACCAAATGAGATCTATAAATAATTTTGTGTTTCTGATTTTAGTATATGAATGAAATTTATGAATATTTGCTGATACAAGACTTTGGTTGAGTGGTTCACCAGAATCTAGACATTATTTGAAAATTTGTAGGTTAACTCTTTCCCCTTTCTTCTCATTTCTACAGTGCTCACCACAGTTCGTTTTTGTTGCTGTATGCTATTGATAACTGAAGGAGTACTGATCACAATATAACTGAAATAACGCGTGAAGATTAAAGCAAATCCTCTATTTATCGATTCCATTAATTTGTTTAAGCTTAGCTCTATAGAAAACATGTAATAGATATCACCCTATCTCTCTCTCTCCCCCTACAACTAGCCTCGCCCATCTTCATTTTTAGCCGTTCGGACAGATTTTACTTTTAGCCTTTTCTTCTTCTATTACTCGGAAAGTTCAAACTCTTCAACACTTATCTGAGAATGAACCTAGAATCAAGGGGGAGAATTTACTTCTGCATACTGAGAATTTATTGCAGCTTGAAGCTTCACCACGAAGCGATGTAGATGAGCATACACAAAGGCGTGCATATTTATTCACTCCTTACTGATAAATATACATCCACATACACATTCTGATGCATTTGCTTTTGGATCTTATCAGTCCACCAACTTTGTAAGTGTGTAAAGCGTTAATTAGAACAAAGTAGTTCTCATTCGTTTTCGTTTACAGTTCTAACCTACAATCATCAGTAAAAGCAATATTTCAATAAGTCCTGCAAATCAGAAACCTGGGTTTTGTATGATGGGGTGGGGTGCTCTGTGTTGTCTTGGGAGGTAGAAATCACCTTCAGCAGGAGTAGCTCTAGTGGTAACTGGGCTTGAAGTAGAAGGATTACGCAGCAGACGTACAATCCCTTCATGCCTTTGAGATGAAATAGAACAATTAAAAGTGGAAATTTGGAAAATTTTCTTTGCTGAAAGAAGTCCTACAAAGAAATCCGAATAGCAGTCAAGAGAAAAGACGAGTACGCTGAGGGACAGAATCTGAACTCTAAACATAGCAGAACAAGAAAATACCTCGATTTGATAACGATTCAGTGCTGAGTAACGAGAGATTGAGCGAGGATGGAGACTGAAGAAGTTGCATTTCTGTCTTTTCTAGTGTTCAGAAAGAGGCAAAGAGCGAGAGAGGACGTGAACAGAGAGTTCAGCTGCGACGAGAGAGCTCAGAGATTTTGAACCTCGAGTTTATCTCGTCGCGCAATCATTCAAATCCAATCTACTTATATTAGATTAAGGGAAATAGCTTAAACCTCCTTCTTTTTTAAATAAATTACTGATACAGACAATATCTTCTTACAATTAACAACCAAACCTCCGAATAATTCTAAACGTAAATTGTACCCTTACTTTACGGGTAATGGCTTATCAAAATCTTTTATTTGCGATAAAGCCCTAAACTTTCGGATTCCGACAAGGATCCCGTTGAGTGATGGAAGAAGCTAATTTATCAAAATACCCACTCATAAAAACTTCAATAACATAAAAATTGCATTAAAAGAAAATGAAAAAACTTCTATAAAAACCTAGAATTGCAACAAACAGAACATACAAATAACATCAACTAAACTAAGTAACAAATGGAATTCAAAAAAAAAAAAAAAGCGCTAAATTAAACCCCAACACTTGGGCTTGTTCTTGTACCTAGGGGTGAGCACTATTTGGTTAAAATTGAAAAACCGAACCAAAAGTTTCGATTTCAGTTTTTCAGTTTGGCTTTTTCAATTTTTGGTTATTTCAGTCTTTAGAATTTGAAATTCGGTTAACCAAATTAATCGAACTTTCTACTATAATATATATAATAGAGTATATATTATTAAAATTTGATTTTAATTAAAAACTGAACCAAAAATTTCAGTTTCGGTTATTTTGGTTTTTCTATAATTCAGTTTTGGTTTGGTTTTTATTTTTTTTATTTTTTGTTTATTTGGTTCGGTTTTTAACCGAATAAAATGAATGCTCACCCCTACTTGTACCACGTTCAGAGAGAGAGAGAGAAAGAGAGAGGGGTGTTTAGTTGTCACTTTTTATTCAACCTTAATGTATTGAATGATATCATAAAATCTAAAAATCAATTCAACCTTTGGGTCAGTTTTAACTTTTAATAAATAATTAATTAATTAATAGAGCAATATTTAATTAATATTTAACTACTTATTAAAAGATAAACTATTTAATTATTTTTAAATAATTGATTAATAATAATTATTATATTAATGATTATTTAATTTAATTTCTAGATATGCACTCCATCCAATTCTAGTTATTTAATTTTAATAATAATCAATTACTAATTATTGTACTAAAATTAAATAATTATTATTAATTAAATATCAATAAATTTAGTTAATAATTGTTTAAAATTAACTATTAAAATTTAATAATTATTAACAATTTTTATTTAAATAATATAATATAAATTAAATAATTATTAAATTATTTTATTAATAACTAATATTTAATTATTAATTATTAAAATAAAAATTTATATCTATTAATTAATTGTTAATTGTATTATTTAATAGTTAAAATACTTTCTCATACCTAAGGCTAAAACAGTCAATTGTTATTTTTTTAGAGCTCAGTATTCAAATTTCATAACAACATTAGTTACATTCAAATATCAAAACCATGAAAAGTTTTCTAACTCTAATACGAGTCCGGATTTGCTCTTCATAGAGTGTGCCTCACGCCAACCTCACATGTCCTGGCCATACATCAGGAGCATCTCCCATACTTGTATTTATTATTCGTGGGGAGATGTTCCCAATATAGGGTGAGATGTGGCTGTGAGATCGGTGAGGTGCAAATCCCAATTCCTCTAATACACCTTTTAAAGCAGTTATTACAAATTTCAGATAGGAGTGGATTCGATCTGAGCCAAGCCGAATACTTGGCTATTCGAGCTCAGCTCGTTGAAATTGTATAGGTTCAAGCTCGATTCGAGCTAGAAACTTAAGCTTGAGCTCGGTCTGGTTCAAAGCTCACAAGTTTGAGCTTGGCTTAGCTCGAGCTCAACTACAAGCCAATTTAAAAAAATAAAAATATACATATAAAAATATTTTTATTTTACATACAAAAAATTAAGAATTATAAAAAATATATATTATTATACATATAAAAAATGTTTTTATTTTACATACAAAAAATAAGAATTATAAAAATTATTTACTATTATACATAAAAAATAAAAATATTATTATATAAAATAAAAATTATTTATTATATAATTATGTGTGTATGTATGTATGTATATAATAAAAAAATATTTATTTATTATACTAGGCTCGTGAGCTTCACGAGCCGAGCTTCATTGGGCTCGAGCTCGGTTTAAACTGAGCCGAGCTCGAATAGCTCGTAAGAAGCTCGGCTCGTGGCCACCCCTAGTTTCGGATGTCAAAAACATGAAAGAAACAAACAAGCCCTTATTTTAGAAAATCGTTGGAAAAAAGGGTAATACAAAGCCTCCCTTGAAGTTTCTAGCAATCATAAAAACCTCCCCTATAGTTTCATTATAATAAATATCTCCTTAAACTTTTGAGAAACTTAACAAAAACCTCCCTTCCGTCATTGACCTGGACGGAAAATGTATACATTTGCAAAATTACCCCTAAGGCGTCATTTAAAGAAATCATAAAATACCACATTTGCCCTTGAAAACATTTCCCTCATTTCCGCTAACGAATAAGCACGAGCTAGCTACAACTGTGGCCATTAAACCACTCTCATTCTAATGAAAGAGGGGATCCTCAGCTGAATTCATTCATTTTCATTTGAATGAATTCTTTCTTCCAATTAAACCCAAGCATCTACCGTCCAAAAGGTATATCGGAATACCTTTATCATTGATGTCACGCATCTACACTTTGAGAATTTCAGAATCTTCAATCCATTTGGCATCATCTCCATTTAATCTGTTAACTTGTTCTTGTTAGAGATCACGTGGCAAAGTTATAACAAGAGCATTATCTTCACTCTGGACTTCAAATCTAAAACTTGTATCAATAATAGAGAGGCCAATACTCACCGAACAATGAATATGATGTAGTTGTATAAACTGTTTGGACCCTAGGAAATTGCTTACCTAGGTGTTGTATAAATATTCAAAATTCTCTTTAGTGTTGAGAGGAATTGAGATAGTGACTAAGAAAGAATGATATGATTTGGACTTTGAAGCCACACAAATTGATTGATATGAACTCTCAAATCGTGCTTGTGCTTTACTGCTTTAGTATATTTAGTTTATAGAAGAGAAGAAACTATCTATGGCGGGCATGGGCATGACCACCTCAGGCAGACACGTACAGAGGAACTTGCGGAATCCGTGTTCCACATATTTCTCTCATTCCTCAGTGTTCTTGTAATCAAGTGTGGGTGAGTACGGATTCAACTAGTTAGCCATTGGATGAGACACCAATTCCCGTGTTTACTCAACAGAGGAGAATAAAACAAATGCGAAGAGAAATAGGGTAGTATGAACGTGGTAGAGGAAATGATGATGTAGATTTGTTCTCTCGGCAATGGAGTTCAAGAGGAAGCTTGTGGTCATTGACGGCGTTTATAACGGTGGAGAGATGACAAGCAAACTTTTTCTTTTTGGGCTTGGACAAGACAACAAGTGGTTGGTTTTCTGGCTGGTCCGGCAAGGAAGAAACATATCTAGGTCTGAGTTTGACCTGGCCAATGAGAAGGAATAACGCAAAGACTTGCCTTGATCTCAACAGAAGCGATGGCACCAATGCCGGGTGGTCACTAGTCAGTGGCATGTTCCATTTGGGTTAGTAACAAAAGGGTAAAATTGGTATTTAAAAAAATGCATCAGTTAACGTTTTTCGTCTAGGTCAGTGACGAAAGGGGGTTTTTGTTGATTTTCTCAAAAGTTCAGGGGAATTATTTATTACAATGAAACTATAAAAGAGGCTTTTATATTTTATCCAAAAAAAAGATAGTTGGGGATTTAGCAAACACATAAGAATTTTTTTTTTCAAAATTAAATGATGGAATGCTAATAGAGGGGGTCTTTCTCGAAATTTGAAAGTTCAAAGGGTCTTTGTTTCCRATGAAAGTTCAGGGGTAAATGCCAATACCCTCAAAGTACAGGATAGTAATAATCTGTAATTTACCCCAACAGAAAAGCAACGCTCAAGCTTCTCTTCGAGCTCACATCGTCTGGATCGTTCTGCATCCACCAATCGTAGATCTCCACGACATCAGACCACTAAATGTAATAAATTTAACGGGAGTCTTAAAGTTTAACGGGCAAACTCCCAAAAAATTTAAATTTTATTATAACCCGCCCTGTTCTTCCTATCTACTCTCTACCGTGAATTGCAGTCACAAATCTCTCAACTTATAATAGAAATGTGTGATTCCAATTCAAGGCGGATAGAGAGTGGATAGAAAATCCCAAGTACTAACCACCGACTGAGCCACTAGCCCAGTGCAATTAATCAAAGTTAGCTTTCTCACTCTCTCTCCCCTCCAGTCCTCAAATTTAGAACTCACCCATAGCAGCATGAGTTTCAAACCATAGTAGAACTCAAATTTATACGCGAAGGCTGAAAATCATAAAGTGTTTTTGAGGTTTAATTCATGTATCGTCATCAACTACTACAAAGATGATTACAAAGATGAAACGAATCTGCACGTAATATGTAAACAAATATCTCTCTTATCCACAAAAAACTTGCACCGGGAACATCTCTTCCATTTCTTTATTTTAGCAAGCTCCATCATCATAAGATCTTCTAGAGAACTTGCACTGGGCTGGTGGTCTTGTGACGGTGGAAGTGGGTGAGATTGAAAAAAGAAGTATAAGATAAGTACAGGCATTGATCAAAGCCAGTTATAATAAAAAGGGTAAATTTCTTAAACTATCTTTATGATTTAGTTAATTGACTAAGTGTGTCCTTATTGTTTGAAAATTGACTGATGCTACTCCTACCGTTTCTAACAACTGACTAACTTTACCTTTATCGTTAACATCCATTAATATTCTGTCAAAACCCGTATACATGTGAGACCACGTAACATTTAAAATTCTTTTATAACCCAGTATTACCCCTCCCTTATCCCCATCCTCTGACCGGCAAATTGACAACCCCTTCTCCTTCCACCGAGACGATCGAGTTTGAGGACAATATTTGTTTTGGCCCATTTCCATTCTCTTCTTTTTATTTTTTTATTTTTTAATATTCCGACTGCCTCCTCTCCCCCTCTCAGTTTTCTCATTTTTTTCATCTACAATCGCCACTGCAACTCCAACAGCAATAGTGTTTTCAATCTCACTCTCATTGGTAACAGGAGGATAGGTCCGACTCTGATTCAAGAAAGACAAAGTCGAACTTAATTTGCTTTCTAGCACTTTTCTGACACTTAATCCATGCCTCGTCAGGAGAAAATTTCAGGGGGAAGGGGGAACAGGGGCAAGATGAGTCATCTTTAACAGAGGGCAAATGAATGGCAGTGGTTTGATCAGAGATCTTTACGATCGGAGCACATGGCTACCTCTTTTCCCACTACCCTCTCTCTCTCTCTCTCTCTCTCTCTCTCTCTCTCTCCCTCTCCTCCTCTTTCACTTCCTCTGTTCTGTAACTGCCATCGCCGCTGCAAGTTGCAGCAGCGGATTTGGTACTTCCCCTTCCACCACTCCCAACACCACTACTCCACTCAGACTATGAACTACCAATACGGGATGAAGAAACGACAGCCAGCAGGAGTAGAAACAAGAAGCAACCAAAATGAATCCCCATCGTCGACCATCATCGCATTCTCTAGATCCTTGATCATTGACTGATAAATTACTCAAACTCGCCGAAATGTAGATTCCCATGTAAGAGTTATTGGAAATTCTTGGTGGAAGCAAAACCAGAAGAGGAACTCGGTTCGTAGTAACCCACACACCTGGTGATGTTCGTTCTCCACTCAGGTTTAGACTGATTCTCCACGGTTTAGACTAAGTTCTCCACTCAGTCATTGAAGCTATTAAAGTGGTGAACAAAAATGCCGATGCACTGCCAGGAGTTGTAGCGGTAACCCACGTAGCCAATGGTGTTCATTGTCCACTCAGGTTCAGATAAAAACATTCGGTGAGTCTCATCGGGGTTTGAAAGGAGAGAGAAAGAGAGGCCAGAGAGAGAGGGTCGTGTTTGAGTTGAGTTAAAATGAGGGATAAATCGGTCGAGTGTTTGAGTTCAAGGGTAAAATGGTCATTTTATATTTTTCGTCTATATTTAACGACCCTGATAATGTTTAGACAATTGTCTAATGTTCGTTAAATCTGGACTCCCGTTAACTTTCACAGATTTAATGAAGTGAAGACGTGGAATTATATAATTGGTGGATGCAGAAAAACTTCCGCATCCAGGACGCAGACGATGTGAACTCCTTCTCTTCGGCCATCAACGACAACGATCGATTTGCTCCTTTCAGGCAAATCACGTACGTAAATGAAAACAACCCAACGCCACAGTTAGAAATTAACAAATTTCAAGTCACTTCAGGGGAGGAGTTCATCTGCGAAACATCGACGTCAGTATAATTTTAGGAAATACCCATATAGCCTCTGGGTAACGCCACCTTAAGCCTTGCCTTAACCTTGATGAAAAATTCCCAAAATATACCTGCAAAACTTGAACTGCTCTCCCCTTTCCCTCTGTTTCCCCTGCAAAACTTGCCTTGAATGGAGTGGAAATATTCCCGTACGGCTGACTCCCCTGGGTAATGCCACCTCATATTGCCCCTTGTCATGGCATATTCCTCAATTGAAAGGAACGGATCGTTGTGGGTTGGCGGTAAGCCATAGATCTCCATCGGCGCACACCGGTGGTAAACATAGTCGAGCTGTGGTTTTCTCTGCCCCTACGAGTTGATGAGATTGCTGCTGATTTTGGGTTTGCAAAAATTATCAGTCCCGACTCCTGAGCAATCAATTCTCGTCTTTTGACACTCAATTCGGGCTTCTCTGCACCATGGTTTTCTCTGTTAAATAGAGCTTCTCGACTTCTCGTCTCCCTGTTTATCTACTGCGAGCCTGCAACTAATATAACCTCATAACTCATTATTTATTAATCCATTGTGACCGATCCCTTTAAAACCTAATTTCACCGGTTTTGATTGGTAGAGTGAAAAATTGGCGGTTTTATCATGAATTTTCTTCCCGTGGTACAGTGCGTCGCTGCAGCTCTGCCGGAAACTACGCCTTTGGCATCTCAACTCGACCCTGAAGGAATTTGTGGAGATCAGAAGAATGACTTGATTTGCAAATTGCAGTGATTAAGCTCAGGATCCCACGATTTTTTTCCTTTATAGTTTCTGAATTCGCATTGGTTCTTTTTCTTATGAACAATTTCTGTATCATTTGAATTTTTCAGCTTTTTACTTGCGTCATATCCATTCTCTCTACTTGTTGCAAGTTGCAACACCTAGTACACAAGAAATTAAGCCGAAAGAACAATCAGAGGAACATCATAATACCAAAATCCATGGCAGCTGAAGAACCAACCGGAGAACCTTGAGTTTCAATCCCCTAATTTGGCAGAGGAATTTGGGGAGAGAGAGAGAGAGAGACCACGAGTCTCCCCTAAATTTAGATTTTCTTGCTCTTGTTATTAACAAAAAAAAAAAAAAGATTCTTACTCTTGCGTTTTCTTCATGATCAGATAGATTTAATATGATAAGGTTGGTCCCATTTTCAATTTGATCCGACACCCAGATTGAAATCTGCTACCCTAAGGAAAAAAATACATGAATGAGCAGGAAATAAGAAATTGATAATACAAAGGAAATGATTGAAACCACAACCTTTTCAAGTACAAATGGAATTAAACTCGGAAATTAGGGATGACAATTTGTGTTTTCATGTGCAATTTCGTTTATTTTATTATCGGCCATGAAAGATTCAAAACCATACAAGTTTGAGGAATGATTAGGTAGGCATTCCAATATTCCATCATTTCTGCAGGTTGTAGCCTTCCAACAATTGCAAACAAATAAATAAATAAATAAAAAAGGCCACCATTTGGGATGAATAGCCACACCTTCCTGTGACATGCATCTATCCCCGTGAAAGTATATCAACTACCAACTTATCCAGGAAGGAATATCTATAAATAACATCAACAATTGAAAACGGGATTTGAATTCTACATGATAGAAAACAATTCCACTTAATTCAAATTGTCAATATAAAGTATGTGAAACAATAGAGAGCTCCCCCTACAAACAAAATCTCTTGTTCAGGGGCTCTTGTATCAATTAAAAATCATCTCCGCAGGCAGGCAGCAAACACAAAATCTTCAGCTGGACAGATTTCGGATTTCCCCAGTAAAAATGAATAGCTCCCTAAGATGAATATAAAATGCCTGTACAGAGAGATCAACAGCAATCAGATTAATAACTGCCGCAAAGTGTATACTAAGAAAATAGCAAAGCCATCACTTTGGTTGTTCCCTTGCTTCAGTGCCAAAGCTTGCTACAAAAACCATTGCGTGGCCTCTTGCTGGAAATTATATCTAGAAAGGAGTCGACCAACTGCCCTGCCAAGCTACTTGGATCATCAATCAGAGTACGAATAAAGGTATTCACCACCCTACGCTCCTGCTCGGTTGATCTAAGGCTAAACCATGTTAAGAATTTCAACCTGAATTCATGTTCAATGTGACCCCCACATTCCAGCCATCGGATGATCTTCACACAATACTCATAGCTCCCATCCAGGCGATTAGACCCACTACAGAATCGCAATGGCGATCCATTAATTAGAGTGCTATCACAGTCATATGCCTCTTCATTTGTGCTAGGCTTCCGCTTCCTAGATAATTCTGTTCGAGACTCTACAGCTGGAACTTCTCTAACAGGCCTAACAGCCCATGTCTGGGAGTCATCACTCCCGTTTGATCCTGCTTGTCCATTCTTCTCTGCCCCATGAGAAATGACATCGTCCTCAGCCTCAACAATCCGCTCAGAAGTGCAACCAATATCTTCATCTCTGGAGGACTCTAATGGTGGAGTTAGTTCTGCATTTAGATCAGGCACTGAGACAACATTCAAGTCAAGCTCATGTGGAACTACTGATGGTTGGTCTTCTTCAATTGTTTCAGGTTTCATTGCAGTGTTCCCACCGCAGCATTCTTCCACATCATCACAGCAGAACCCATCAAAGCAGCCTTGTTCTTGTGCCCAAGCAAGACGTAGAATCTTTCCAAGGTCTCGGACCTTGAAACTGGAAGATGCAACTCCCGTTGTCATATTGGGATCCCTCTTGGCATTAGATGAGCTTCCTTCTACACGCAAATTCTCATTCTTACGATCTGCGGCTGCTGCAGAATCAGAATTCTTATGGATTATCTCCACACTTTTGGTAAAACATTTTGCCTCAGAGTGACCCAAGTCACCAGCCTCTGTATATGAGATTATACGAAAGGTGTATTCTGTGCAAGGCTGCAGGTTTGAGATCAGAATTCTTCTCTGAGCTCTTGGAAAGACACATATAGGGTCTTTGGAGTGGGATTCTTCTCTGCTCTTACAGTACCAGAGCTTATAGCCCTTTATATCATCCGAAGATGCAGATGACAGTTCTTTCAGTACAACAACAAGGGAGGAAGATGTTACTTCTTCAAACTGGAACCTGCAAGCAGCAGGAAGTGAAGCCTCTGCAACAGAAATGAAGAGTGAGGCTTATTGTTTACAGTGAAGTTCGTTAAATCAATCCAAAAGAAAAAAGGGAGCGGCTAAGCAGCCTTACCTCTATCATATGGGCTGGCATTAGAAATGGTATTTAGCCGCGCATCTGCCTTTTCAATTGCAAGAGAGCAGAACTTCTGCACATCACCAGCAACTGAAAGCCTGCTAACGATGCCCCGTGCCATCTTGGCTGAAACTCCACTCACTGAGCCAACCTCTATTTCAAGTTTGGCCTTGGCATCTTTCACAATTTCATGTAGTTCCTTAAACCTGCAAGTCCCATCAAGGAGCCGGTAACTCAAGGATATCCTATAGCAGAGAACATCCACACGCCGAGCATCTTTCGCTATTACCAGCTGCTTCTTCCAAGATCTGCAGGAAAGTCGCAGCAAAAAAAATCACTCCACAGGAGATGGATAATCTCTTGTTCAGACATTGGAATTACAAGGCATTCACCCCTTTTTCTTATTTATTTAGCAATATTTTGTATTAATCTAAAAATAACCAGAAAGCATGTACATTCTTGCCATTTACCTATTTCACTAACAAATATATATATATAGAGAGAGAGAGAGGTCACAAAGATTAACAAGGAAGACAACCACAAGGTCCACAACAGAGAAAAATTACTCACCCTAGTATCCCTGATACTTTGCCACAAGAAGCACAACAGTAACTTCCATCCAACTGCATCAGCTGTCCTAGATCTACAACCCCTGCCTTTTGGCATTGAAGAGCACACTCAATATGACAGGATAATCCACAAGAGTCCCCCTCCCCAGATTCAGAAGTGCAGACAAACCAAAGACTAGGGTCCTTGTTGTCATCAAAAAGGTGACAGATGCAACAAGAGCACCTCTTGCAAAATGTATCGTCGGAGGTTAGGACAGCTCTACACGCAGAGTTCTTACAGATCCAGGTGTTTGAACAAGCAACATCTGGAGAAAGCTCTGTAGCCAGTGGAAGTCGAACAGGGTTTTCTCCCTTCCTTGCTTGCTTCCTAGAGGGCTGAGCATGATTGTTGGTCAATGTTGACTGACTAGAAGTTTTTCTTGACTCCTGGTTCTTACATCCTTTGTTATTTATCTTGAGAAGTTCACTTGTTTTGCATTTTGATGAGGCCGTATGTTTCTTATCCCTGTCAAAGCATGTGCGAAGCAATTCCTTCTTTACCCCCACTTTGAGATACTCTTGGAGGAGAACTTGACTTCTTGGACCATCATCTGAGTGCCCATTTTTTTCTGGAGTGCTTTGTGCACTGGAAGAAAGGCTTTGTATGCCAAAAACTATAAAAGAGACCAGGCAAAAAATAATAATAATAATCAGCTTGCCCAAAACCAACAGTAATAATCATGGAAATCATTATAAGCATAGAGAAGTTCAGAATCTCAGCAAGCTCGATAAAGAAAATCACAAATATAAGAGGCAAAAATATGTATGTGAGAGTGAACAAGAGAGAGATAATCTACTTGATTGAAATAAAGGAAATACCAAGAATTAGAAGGGCTTGAGGATTAAAGATGACAAATTATTGGAAGCAAAAGATACTGCAGTCAAGGAGCACACATGCATACATGTAAGTATATATGTAAAGAGAGGACCAATATATATTATACAGAAAAAAAACCCAGATGGGGGCTCAGACTTACAAGACCAAAAACAACAATAAAAAGTTTGCACCCAAGAGAAACCCTGAATAAAAAAGGCAAACTCATTCTTCCTTCAGCTAGAAGTCATAAATTATTTAGTTCTGCAAATATTCTCCTATTCAAATAATACAATTATTACAGAAGTTACAGAATTTCTAGAATATCTATTCATTGACTTAAATGTAGTGGTTGAAAAAGTTCAGATTGGTAAAGAATTGGGATTGTTCGTTTTCTGTCGAGAAAACTTTGCAAGAAAAGTGTTCATGGAACTGGAAGAAAGAGACAGAATATTTGAGTAATTTTATGAGGATCTAATGAAGCTCTTCCAGTCATTTATTGGGGGCAGTGTTTTAGAACTTGGACCGGAGAAAAAACTGGAATCTCCAGGTCCTGGTTTTACCGATCTTCCAAAACCGTCATTTAACTGGGACCCAGAAAGGCCACCAGTTCCCAGTTTTCACAGACCAACCATCCGGTCCAGGTCGAGTCTTAAAACATTGATTGGGGGTGATGTGAGGGTGGGCATTTAAGAGGACAATCAAAAGTAGTTATCTGATATTCTGAGTTTGAGTTGGTGGCAGTTTATTTTATGTTTTTCACTGTTACTTCTTATCAATTTCTTTTGGTTTGTGATTTAGCTAAGGGATTCAGGTTTTAATTATTTTAGTTGGTCATGTTAAAGGGGAGTGTTTATAGGGTTAATATTATGTATGTCTCTTGGTGATTTCTTATCATCTTACCTTGTATTCTTCTTTTTATTTTATGAAAACTAGTGTAAGGGCACACTAAGAATGATCAAATAGAGATGCCATGTACAGATATAGTAGAGAACCCCTCTGTGAATAATTTTAACATCATTTTCTAACCATCTATCAAGTGGGGCTAGTCTATAGAAAAGTGATTATGCATTACCAATTAATTCTCTTGCAAAGAAGTTTCCTTTTCCAATAGTCTCTCTTGTGGCAAGGCCAGAAAAAGGAAACCTGGACTTAAGATTTTGATTTGATAAATGTTACATGTGTAAACCAACTTATGTATTAAGTATTAACAGATATTAGTGAATTAACAGACACCTTTAAAAGTGTACCATAAATTTCTTCAATTCATAGACCAGCATGGGATACAAAATCATGATCTTCATAACAATTGTTGTCAAATGACATTGAACACTAAAACTACTGAAGCATGTTCATATATTAGGAAATGTTGTTGTTGTTGATAAAAAGAAATTTTCATTAATGTATGGAAATGAAACGGAGAGATAGGTGTTTAATTAAATAATAAAAACAAAGTAATCCAGATGAATGGAGAAAGAGCACCATTACGCTTATATTTAAAACCAAAGAAGATAATACAAGGTTGCAGTAATTATCCTGAGATCGAAGCACGGAATTTTGAGAGAGACTAATCAAAGCATGATTCATGAAACAAATACATCAGAAAACCAACTTGGTTCATGTTCATGTCAAGGGGATCAACCAAAGAAGTTGTCTTTTTATTTAGACGATGAAAACGTTTGGGGAGAAGATGAGTGATCACATGGTATTCATTGATCTAGAGAAATGAGTTCCTAGAAAGATGATATGATGGATAATGGAATATAATGGAGTACCAAATAGTTATGTGGACCTGATTAAGGACATGTACAAGGGGGCGACAACCAATGTTAGAATACCTGTGGAGAGACATTAGAGCTGTCGGTTCAGTAGAACTTTACCAAGGCTCAGCACTTGGCTCTTATTTGTTTGCACTAGTTGTGCATGAATTGACTAGACACATTTAGGAAGAGATCCTATGGTGTATGTTGTTCACCAATGACAGTATTAAATGATGAAACTAGAGAGCTTAAATGTGAATTTAGATATATGGAGAAATGCCTTAAAAAACAGAAGTTCTAAATAAATAAGTAGGACTAAAACAGAATATATGCAATACAAATTTAATAATGATAGGATTTTAAATTAGGCTACACTTTGGATAGGATTGGAGACCAAGAGATATCTCAATGTGACCTCTTTCACTACTTTGGTTCAATAATCCATAACAAGGGAGAAACTGAAGAGGATGTTGCCCATAGAATTAGAGCAGAATGGACAAAATGGAGGAGTGAATCCAAAGTCCCATGTGGATAGGAGAATACCTCTTAGGCTAAAAGGAAGATTTTATAAAGATAAGGCCAGCAATGTTGTATGGAGAAAAGTACTGGACAATCAAGAAACAAAATGCCCAAAAACAAGTATAGCTGAAATAAGCATGTTGAGAGGGATGAGTAAGAAAACTAGAAAGGATGGGATCAGAAATGAACATACTCGGAGGAACTTAGGACTGACTCCAATAGGCAATAAAACGAGGGAAAGTCTAATAAGATGGTTTGATCACATACAGAGAAGACCATTTATTGTATGAATGAGAAGTGACTTGTTAAAAGTTGAATGATAAAGAAAATCTAGGGGAAGACCAAAAAGGGCATTGGTTAAAATAGTGAGAAATGATTTAAGAGTCCATAATTTAAAAATGGATATGACACTGAACAGAGCAGAATGGCAAAAAAGGATTCATGTAGCTAACCCCCCATACAGTTGGGACAATGCTTAGCTGAGTTGAGTTGAGCATGAAAAAGTAAGATATTAAGATGTACAAGTAGAAAACAGATCAAGAATCTTCAAAGTATGCAAAGAGTGTCCTTTTTATTCTTTTTCATGATCAAATATCTTTTTATTCAATTATTTCAAAATCACACAAAACATTTGCATAAAGAATCATCTTCCACATAAATGCAAACAGGAGGTCCAAATTAGCTCTCGCATCAGGTACTGAAGAATGTATCCAATGTTCCAATTCCATGCAAAATATATATGAAAGTAGGCATCATATGTATTTAAAGGAATTGTTTCTGTGCTCCTCATCTTTCATGCACATGACATCTGGTGTTTCTCTTCTTCAGCTAGCCCACTGTGAAGTTCTTGAAAATTTCATTAGCCGGAGTCACAGCCAACTCCATGCTTAGTCTAATTTGCATGAATGAAGAGATGGTGTTCTCATGCTTAGATTTGTAGACCATTAATCTCTGAACCCAACATTGCAAGAGTACAAATTTTTGGCATAGCAGTAATAAATTAGTACTTTTATGAGCAAAAACAAGTCACAATGCAATATGTGTTTGTTCATTCTGATATGATCCTCAGACATGCGCGCACACACACACAGAAGGTTAAAAAGGGGAAGGGGAATATAAAAGTTATAGTCCCCCTTCCCTGAAACATTACCAAAGCATGGATATTATGGGTAAAAAACAAAATAAATAAATAAATAAATAAGTAAATAAGCAGGCTAACACAAACAAACATGTATATCTGTATGTTATATAAATAGAAAATGGTAAAAAAGGAAAAATAATGTAAAGTCAAATGTATTATGGATTACACCTATTGCAATAGCAGTATTTTCAAAGAATCCATAGTTCCTAAGATAACGTCATCTAGGAATGTTCATTGTTCCATTTGCCCTTGTTTAGGAATTCCTAATTCCATGTATTCTTTAAAAAATTCATGCTTGGGGGGTTTACGTCTCTTGCACTCTGGTTTACGTGTCATGCCTCAGGAGAATTCCTTGCGTCACCCAAGAGGCAATATACTTCATGTGCTTCCATGCTACCTGTATGCACCTCAGGGAATTTTGTGGGTGCCTCACCTGGAAGCACTCTTCTAGGCATGTACCTGCCACTTTGCATGCCTTTTAAAACACTGATTAAGAGTTTATACAGGCATACAGGCTTTATGCATGTTGAAATCAAGAATTAAAGGCCATCGTTAAATCAAAATCTCAAATTGCAACATAGAGAGTCACCATTAGCACCATGCAGGCACATTGCAGCAACTACACTTGAGGCATTAATGTTCTTCATTACTCTAAACACAGTCCAATCTATGGAAGTCTTTAGTAGAAAAACATTTAACATCTTATGTTGTCTATCAATGTCTTCACAAATAATTTCTCTCTTATTCTTCAATCATTAAGTAACAAGTAATATAATTCAATAAAAAATAAGGAATAAGGAAATTTGGGGAAAAAGTATAAATATAGTGAAAAGCATACCTTTGGCAAGAACTTTATCTTCTGAATCCATTCCTCCAAATAAGGCAAAGAGCTCAAGTCATCATCACTGTAGCAATCAACCAGTAATAATACATCATGACACTAATATGTGGGTAACTGGATCTACTAAGATCTGAAATATGCAAACTACTAAAACATCTGTAGAAGCGATTTATTGAATGAACGTACATGGTAACATGAACAAGCATGAACAATGTCGAAAAAAAAATAATGCATTGACATTTATGCCAATGTCAAACATAGAAATAAGACATAACCATGGAAACAGAGTAGGCAACACAGTAGGAAGAAACTTGTGCAGCCTTGTATGCATAGCTGGATAGAAACAAATTAAAAAGAAGAGACAATCTTGGACATAATATTAGCCCATAGTAATAAACTGAACAACGCTGAAACTGAATGGCTAGTGTTAAAATAAAAACCATAATAACAAACAAATTAAGTCGCATTTCCCCTAATGGGAATGCAGGGTAGCAAATCTCTTAACGGAACTTCCCAATATGATATTTCGTGGTCATAAATAAACCAAGTGTGTAAGTTTTCCTTTGAACTTCCCAAAATGCATCGAACAAAAAAAAGGAGCTACAAGAAAAAAAAAAAAAGGAACAATTGGGTTTCTGTACAATGATTGATCAAGCACAAAAACACACACAAAGAATTTCAAAAGAAAGGATTTCATATCTGGTGTAGTACTCGACACCAAAAAATAAATAAATAAATATCTTTGTAGTCCAAGTCAACTTAGCTGACGGACACCATAAACCCTTCTCTATAAAACCCTTTAAACATGAAACAAAGAGTTTCTTTTACGGAAAAAACTACATGATTATGGACCATTCCATTAATGATCAAATTCAGCATACTGCGCAAATATTCAACGAAATAACCCATAACCCATTTCTAACTGGAAGGCATACATATAAAAAAATCAATTAAAATGAAAACAATCAAATAATGCTTTGCATATTGCAGAAAATCCAAGCATCAAAAGAACAGAAAAATCCCAAAACAACAACAGCAACGATAACAACGACGAAGCCGAGACCAACACCACCACCAAACCAAACAAAATCAAGAAACCGAATCAGATGAACCGGAAACAATGCAGAGGATTCAGAGACGGCAGATCTAAAGAAGGAAAGCAGCTAAAAACAGCAAATTTTGTAACGAGAAGACAACAAAAACACAGGCAGAGAAGACAAAAGGGAAAGAATTAAAAAGAGCAGAGATCTAAAAGGGAGCACCTTGAAGAATGCGACGAAGGAAACGCGAATCCGGGGGGTTGGATCGACCGATCGATCAAACCCTAGAGGAATGAATTCGATTATTTACTGAGAAGCAAAGAAAGGCGATTCTTTTGTGGAAGGTCATCGAGTCTTGAACCTCTTTATATATTTTCCCCCTTTCTTTCTCGTTATGGAAAAAGAAAATAAGAAAATTAATTTAATAAATAAAACATGATTATGTAGAAGTAGAAACCGGAAGACGAGCGAGAGAGAGAGAGAGAGGTGATGGTCACATGGGAGAGAGAGGGAGCAGCGACGTAACCGAACTGGTTTGGCTTTTGGGGTGGTTGAGGCGTACATATGCTACGTATAACGCAAGTACGCAAGAAAAGGAGAAAGAGAGAGAGAGGTCTGCAGTGTGCAGACTTGGGTTGGATGGAGGAAACAGGGAAAATCCGGTCAGAGCCAACTAATAGCAGGCACGTGAAAAGTGAGTAGCAGAGAGAGAGAGACCCAAAGTCCAAAGATTTCAACGACTACGTACATCGCCAGCTTAACCAACCGATGCAAGTAAGAAAAAGCGAATTCAATCTAATGGAAGTTTCCCTTGTGAGTATGCAGTGAATGAAAAGATTTCCAGTTGGGGTTGATGAAAATTTACAGTTTGGGAGGGATTTTCTGCGTTTGGAATGCGTTGTGCTAATTGAGCTGGTTGAGCATCTTTGAGCAGTGATTTGGGCGTTCAGAATGTTCATATTAGATTTTCGGAGTTCTACCAAATACAGCTACTGGTTTTTTAGTCAGCGGTGTAATCGTCTGGTCTGAATGGAGGGTCCATTTGTAATTAAAAATTTTAAAAATTGAAAATTAAAATAAAAATGGGCAAAAATCATTGTCTAACCCGGTGTTTGGCATCGGTGCCATTTTCTGAAAAAACGGTGCCATGTAAGTGTCACGTTAGAGAAAATGGTGTTGCAAGCAACACCCTCTTGTTTGGTACCGTTTTCTCGAAAAAATGTTGCTCCAGACCATACCTTGGAAATCGGAAATGTATGGCTTGGAGCAATGCCAAATTTGATGTTTTATGAGAAAATTGTGTTGCTGCCAACAATGCAAGATGTGGCCTCATCTTGGACATTGGATAATAAAATCAATGTTGAAAACGTTGCTTCTAGCACTGGTACCAAACAAAACCAGTATTGTTTTTTCAAAAAATGTCTATGTGGCGGAACTAGTTCCAAGCAGGAAATGGTACTTACAACTCTACATGCCCAGCACCGTTTCTCTTAGAAAACGGTGTGATGTTCCCAACACCGATGTCAAACACCTACCAAGTGMTTGGGGTTAATGGATCATTGACCAAATCCATAGTTTTTCTATTAAAAAAAATGATTGGGGAGTGAAATAAAACCAATTACTTGGATGGTTTTCCAGCTAAATAGTTCAACCATGAACTTAGCTTCTGGTGTTCCGGTTTTGGGGTCAAACTTGAACTGCTAGAAACCGAATCCCAAAGCCCTCCTAAATGGGCATTCATTATAACCCACATAAATCGTTGTTCGCTATTTGGCTCCCTAACTCCTAGCTAAATAGGTAAATTGCTAGGATAGGATTTCAAATGAAGTATGGAAAATGATGATATGTACAAATGATCAAAGCATTGGTATTGGGTATCTTATTTGACAACTTAGATATAAATAATTTATGGACATAGACGAAAGATATGTAAAACATATGAGTTCGTTAGGTGAGCACATACAAATTTCGTAAATACATTAATTACACTAATTTTAAAGTCAAAGTAACTAGAAATAAAGTATAAATACATAAGAAATGTATATTTTAATAGTACATACAAAGAAATATATTACAATTAATATAACTAGATGCATAGATGTCATACAATTTTGTTGATAATCCATCAATCAAGAGTCCAAGACTCATATTATATAGATCTTTACAAATTAACAAATGCACAAATCCATTATTATGTTATATTTTATTTAAGTCCAAGACACAAAATATATGCAATTATTATATTATAATTACTATATTAATTATTTTTTATTTTTCTATTTTTACTTTTCAACATTAACAAAAAAATCAATTAAATATTAAATTTTGAAATATTAGATAAATAATATATTTATTTTTTAAACAATGAATATATTATTATAAAATGTAAATTAAAATATCAATTAATCATTTATAAAATATATAATCTTAACTTAAAATATTTTAGTTCAATATATTAAAATTTTTAAGATACATATCATATGAAAATTTGTAATTTTTAATTACCAAAATAACTATTCCATTATTAACATTTTATTTCTATTTTTTTTGAAATAATAAATCATTTTGATATAAATATAAATTAGTGTATTTGATAGATTAAATTTAATATTATATTCTTTAATATTTTGTAAACAAAATTTGTATTTTTATAAATAATAAATACATTATTATTTAGTGTAAATTAAAATATCAAGTAGTAAAAAATAATTATTTTATTATTAATATTTTTATTTGTATAAATTTATTTGAGAGTAAAAATCAATTTTTGATATAAATATAATTTTGATAGTTTTTTATTTCAGTAATATTTATAAAATATTAGTTTTTAATATTATTCTCTTTAATTTAAGTTGGAATTATTAAACATAAACATATGGTATTTCTTTAGATTGCATGTTTACAATAAAGTTAATAAAATTTATTTTATTTTATTTTATTTATCATCACAAACTAAAAGATGGCCTAGTGGCTTAAGATGCTAAGTGATAAGTGGCATATGAGTTGAGAGTTGAGTTTGAATTGTGCTGGTAGCATTTTTTTAAATAAAAGTTTATTGCATCTCTATGCACATCAGTATATATCAGTTGATACAGTGTGATACGCGCTAGTACTTATATGTATCATATTGATACACACGACTAGGTAGACATCGTATCCATCATAGGGCCTTTGGTATTGTATCAACATTTTAAACTTTGACATAGGCTTAGTTTGGAAGGAGTACAAATGCAAATATGTAGAGTGCAAAACCTTATATTTTGTATTATTTTGTATGTATTTGCTCTGTACACTTTTGCATTTGTAATCCTTCCAAACATACCTATATAGAGATAGGCAGACCTAGAGATTGACGAGATTAGATGAAAATGAGGAATATTAACAGCAGTAATTTTTAGATATGTGATGTGTACTCTGATAGAGGGAGGGCCATTGGAAATTAGGTTTTTTATAGACAAAACACACCAGCTTTCTCTTTCTAAGCTATAAAAATAGGTTTTCTATAGACAAAGCAAACCAACTTTCTCTTTCTAAGCTATAACAGTGCAGTCCAATGGCTCTTTTGGGAGGGATTCCGCATTAGATTGAATTGTGTTAACTGGGCCACTTCCTAGAAGTTAATGAGATAGTTTCACCACAATACATTGTTGGCCATGTTCATCCAATATCACGTCGAAAATATCAGTTATATAAAAGAATATGAGATGTTCCTAATGTGTAGTTGTGATCAGTATATTTGAACTCCAATTTTGCAACACATAAAAGTCTATTTTTGACTTTTCGATTTTTTACCAAATATGATTTCATGACGTTCTGGGTTCTTCAGCTCAAATAACATCAACAAATTTTTGGAATTGAACTGGTATCACCAGTTTCTAGAAAACTGGTAACCAAAATCAAACCGAAGTCGATTGGTTAACCGGTTGACCGATTCGACTAACCATTGGTTCAATTCATTGGTTTTTCAGTTTTTTTATATTTACAATATATATTATAAAATATATAATAAAAAATCAGAAATATATAATATTCTATTTTAAATAATAAATAATATATTATATATTATAAACATATATATTTATATATAATGCATATTTATTAATTTATAATATGTTAAAAATATAAAATATATATAATATACATAAATATACCTAAAATATATAGAATTATATGTATAATGGTCGATTTGGTTAACCGTCAATTTTCTTTATTGATTGACCGAAACCAAACCAGTACCTTCGATTTTTTAAAAATACCGAACTGAAACCAAATTGATTGATTTAGTTAATCAGATTTATTGTTCGGTTTCAATCTATTTTCTGATCCGGTTCATTTTTTCGGTTTTTGTTGCTCACCCCTATCATGCTACATGAAAAACCTGATATCAAAAATCCAATATCCAATACAAACATTTGATACAATTATTTTAAATTCAGGTGATATGTTTACGTAATTGGATCGGATGTAAATCTGAACACCTCCAATCTCATTAAGATTTGAGTCTAATTAAATTTTATAATATATGTTTAATTATATAAACATTTTATATTTTAAGCCCTGATTAAATTGAATCCAAACTCAGAAAGTATCCGATCCAATATGAGACCCTGGATCCAATTGGATTTCGGATCAAGTTATAAATAATTAAACCGGATTCGGATGTTGCTCCTATTCCAATCCGACCCCATCAGCCCTATTTTGCATCATGAATGATCAAAATATCTCTTGATTTGTATCGTTAATAGCATCGTTGTCAGACCCACACCAGCCCAGGTGGTTGAACATGTGAAGCAGTGAATTTTCTGGTCTCGGTTCTTCTATGGTCATTTCATATGACATAAGTGGTTGAACCAACGGTTAAATCGGAAAAGCCATGGCAGAGCAAATGAGCTTTCCCACTTTCTGACCGGGTGCACATTGGTGGTCCAAAATCCAAATAATTTTGAGGCATAATTAGGTGAGAATGAGAATATGTGCAAAGACAGCCAAATGTGAAAGCAAACATGCAAAAAGCAAAAGTTCTTTACTGAGCTTTTAAAAAACGAACCAAAGGTTCAGAAATAATCCACGTCACCACTCTAGATTGCATGGTATATGGGACAACTTTCCTTTTTCTAAACTAGTGAATGACCCCCGTATTAACTACAGGGACTGTTAAATTTACAGTATGGATTCAATATTATTAAATTTATATTTATTAATATTGTAAATAATTATTAAAATTTAAAAAAAAGAAAAGTTTTTTAATAATTATTAGAATATGGATAATTTTCTTTTGTTATGATACGTAGATGGTTAATGATTAAGTGAGATTAATAGAATGTAAGCAGAAATAGTTATGGATAATCATTTTTGCATTTTCTGCATTTTTTTATAAATGGATTGAAAATGGTGATAGTGGATTGTGGGCTTTACCAATAACCTCTCAGAAAACACGACGTGTCTAACTTTTCAGATAAAATGAGAATGCCATGTATTTGAATGGTGGGGAGCTGTAGCCTATAATATATATACTAGTGAATGACCCCGTAATAAGTATGGGGAAGTTATTATATATATATATATATATATATATATAT